TATTATTATTATATTATAATAATTATTAATATTATTTACGTGCGTCGCACTTGGTATTATTTTATTATATATGTTGTATAATACAATATTACATTACGCTTCGTAAATCTTGTATCCGAACCTGTCCCTCAATAAATAAGAATTTTATACATCTATATTTATTATAATCTCCGCAATATAAATCTACATCTAGATAAAAAAATATGATTTATGCTAGATAGATAAAACAAAAATTTTAAAACGCATTTATATTGATAGAACGTTATCGTTATTATGAAAAACATTTTAGAGTAATTAGCTTTGTATTTTTAGTTTTATTATCGCTTCATAATATCTGTCAAAAGTGAACAATTTGTAGTCAACAAATATGATATCGTATCATTACGTAATGTATCACGAAAATAAAATACAGATGGCGAGACTTGCGCGTAAGAGGCATCGGGCGGTAGCCATATTTATGTAGTGCTGCAGCTATTCATTGATGCAGCTCTTTAACACAAGTTTAAAATACCCTTTTTGCAACGAATTCTTATCAAAGTAAATATATATATGTAATTTTGTCATTAATAATACAAATCATATCAAAAATAATTACTATTGAATAAATATATACTATTGAATACATATAATATAATTGGAATACAGTTATATAATACAAGCTAATCGAGTCTATTTGAAGCTATAATTATTAATAGAAAAACTCAAACAGAAGGTAAGTCAACAATTTTTTATATGCTTCAATGAGTCTTTATATTATAAAAACAGGAACATTATTCTGAGAATAATTTTTATTTCCTTCAATCGATAATATATGTATTTATAAATTTCTTTGTACACTGTTTTGTCAACATATGATGAAACTTTTACATATGTATACTTTTTGTATATCTGTTCGCGTATAATACTATATTTTTTCTTTATAATGCGCTATATGTACATTATATAAATATACTAGAACATTATATTACGATATTATATATACTAGATTAAAATTTGTTTTTATTATGTTATTTTTTTCTCATTAATTAATAATTTTTTTATTAACAATAACAAGTATAAAAAGATAAAAAAAAAATATTTTCATTAAACATTAAATT